CAAAGAGAAGGAGAGCGAAGATGAGCTGATGCGTAGATCTGAGAGATATCGTTAATTGAGCAAAAATAATATCGTAATTTGAGTGAAAATATTCGTTTGCACTAAATAAAATCCACCTTCTGCTGATTCTGTGCGCCTGGTACTTCACTCCCAGAAATGTATGAAATTGTACTGAAAATGTCTTGATTTCAGCCTTGTTTTTGTTACAACAATAAAAACAATCTTTTTACAACAATATTAATAAATAATTATTTAAACAAAAATGAGCCAAAAATTAATTTTCAATGGTTCATAATTCAACCAAAAATTCATGAAATTCAATTTGGAAAGCTGTTCGGAATTAGTTTTTATAAGCTTAACAAAACTGCATACTTAATTTAATATAAATACCTACCAATAATTTTATATAATTTTAGGATCGCCAGAAATGAAGCTGGAGGAGCGAGCAGCTGGCAGGACAGACCTCAACCGGATGGCAGTAGAGAGAGACGGTGATCGGATCTTGGCTCCGAAACCCTGCAGCAGGCGTAAATAATTCAAATATTTATAAAGACAATTTAAATATGTAAATGTAATTGATTTAAGACACAAATATGAATCAATAAAAGAACGTGAAATCAATGTAGAAAGGTTTGTTAAAGGCGGCATTCATTTGGGGGCCTTGGGATTGTTTTGGGGAAAAATCTAACTGTTTTTTAAATTATTTTAACTGCCAAATTTGAATTTGAATTTAACTGCCAAATTTGAATTTGAATTTAACGACGATCAGTTTCAGTGTGCCCAGGTGCAGTTGTAAAATAAATCCTAAATTTGGATTCAAAAGGTTTGAGTCTCCGCTAACGTGCGCAGGCTCCGAAATGGTTTGAAACCTGGACAAAATTTACAATATGGTCACACTGGCACGTTTTTCGTGGCCCAAAGTTTTTATAACAGTTTATACCAGTTTTCAGTTGCTTGCTGCTGGTTTCTGTTCGCCTGTTACCCCAATTTGGGAAACGGGCAATTTGCATGGAAATGTTCGGAAATTTGGATGGGCTGCTGTAGGGATGTTGTTGTAAAAAGGTTGTTGTTGCCATCAAGCTGTTGTTGTCGGCAACAAATAGGTATAAATGAATAATAGGAAATATAACAGTTTATACCAATTATTATTTTTGGACAAAAGTTTTTATAACAGTTTATACCAGTTTTCAGTTGCTTGCTGCTGGTTTCTGTTCGCCTGTTACCCCAGTTTGGGAAACGGCCAAATTGGATGGAAATTTTTGCTCACTTGCATCAGTGATGCTCAACTGTATCAGTGATGCTCATCTAGCTATATTGCAATATTGGAAGGCTAGAAATTGGGCTTTGCATCAGTGATGCTCATTCAGCTATATTTCAATACTGGGAGAAAATAGCTAGATGAACATCACTGGCAGTTAGTGCGATGCCATTTTGTCCCAATAATGCAAAATAGCTAGATGAGCATCACTGGCAGTTAGTGCGATGCCATTTTGTCCCAATAATGCAAAATAGCTAGATGAGCATCACTGGCAGTTAGTGCGATGCCATTTTGTCCCAATAATGCAAAATAGCTAGATGAGCATCACTGACAGTTAGTGTGATGCCATTTTGTCCCAATAATGCAAAATAGCTAGATGAGCATCACTGACAGTTAGTGAGATGCCATTTTGTCCCAATAATGCAAAATAGCTAGATGAGCATCACTGGCAGTTAGTGAGATGCCATTTTGTCCCAATAATGCAAAATAGCTAGATGAGCATCACTGATGCAGATGAGCATCACTGATCGTCGTTAAATTCAAATTCAAATTTGGCAGTTAAATTCAAATTCAAATTTGGCAGTTAAATTCAAATTCAAATTTGTCAGTTAAAATAATTTAAAAAATGTAACAAATTCTAAAAAATGTAAAAAATCTGAAAAAAATGTTTAAAATTTAGAAAAAAAATTTTAAAATTCAGAAAAAAACTTTTAAAAATGTAGAACAAAATTTTAAAAATTAAAAAAAGTTATTTTAAAAAATCAGAAAAAAAAATTAGATTTGGCTTTCAACAGATTTTTTCCCAAACAATCCCAAGGCCCCCAAATAAATGCCGCTTAAACCACACAATTCCACATTGATTTCCCTTTTTTTTATTGATTCATATTTGTATGTTCCATGAATTACATTTACACATTTAAAATGTATTTATAAATATTCCAATACTTTACGCCTGCTGGGCTTCAACTAGCCCGGAGCCAAGATCCGATCACTGCCATCCGCTTGAGCTCCGCCATCCCATCTGCTTGCTCCTCCAGCTTCACCTCTGCCGATCCGATGATCATTAATCAACAATTACAATGATGACTAGGATGAACTTGTGCTTCGCAGATCGCTGCGCATAATAAGAGCATAATAAATAAAGTTATGTAAAATTAAATTAAACTATTTAACTTTTTTGTAATTATAGGTAAGCATTTTAGCAACTCAGAACAGTTTTCCAAATTGAATTTCATGCATTTTTGGCTGACTTATGAACAATTGAAATTTTAACATTTCTTCTCATTATATAACTCATTGCACAGATCAGCTCACTGATTCTTTGAGAGCAACGACTAAAATACTCTCAAAGACCCAATGAAAAAGAACAACTGTTGTTATTGTAAAATGCATTTATTGTAAGAGTATTGTTTTTATTGTTGTAGCAAAATCCCGACATCAATCTGGCCATTTTCAGTACAAATTCATACATTTCTGGGAGTTAAGTAACAGGCGAACAGAATCAGCAGGAGGTGGATTTGCGTTAGTGCAAACGAATATTTTCACTCAAATTACGATATTATTTTCACTCAAATTACGATATTATTTCCACTCAATTAACCATATCTCTCAGAGCTACGTATCAGCTCGTCTTCGCTCTCCTTCTCTTTGTTCGTTAGTTACGATCTTCGGGGAATTAAGCAGCAAACTTAAGAGCACGTTATTTATTCTCTTAATTACGATTCCGCTTAGCGCTGCGAGAGCTGACCTTCGCTCTCCTGCTCTGTGTTCGCCAGTTACGGTCTTACGCAAATTAAAGAGTAAAGATGAGTGCATCCCATTACTTGCGAAGACCGTATCTGAGATGCGCAGCCAAGGGAAATATCGTAATTTGAGTGAAAATATTCGTTTGCTCTAACGTAAATCCACCTTCTACTGTTTCTGTTCGCCTGTTACTTGACTCCCAGAAATGTATGCATTTGTACTGATAATGTACAAATTGAAGTCTTGTTTTTGCTACAACAATAAAAACAATATTTGTACAATAAAAACATTTAACAACAACAACAGTTGTTCGGTTCCATTGGGTCTTTGAGTTATTTTAATTGTTGCTCTCAAAAGTCATCGAGCTGATCTATGCAATCAGTGAGATAATGAGTAGAAATGTTAAATTTGAGTAAAAATAATGGTGTGCACTCAAGAGCAGTAGAGCGAAGACCGTAGGTGACGGCAGCTCTGAGCAATACGGTAACTTGAGTTGTTTTAATCGTTGCTCCTAAAGAGCCATTGAGTCAAAGAGTTATGGTAACCGCTGCTCTCATGCTCTCTCTCTCTTCGTTTCGAACAACTTTCGAACACAGAGGCCGAAAGCTCAGATGAGCTGATCTGTGGCGAAGAGTGAAAACAGTGAGTGGAAGTATTAACATTGAGTGACAATATTGATTTGCACCAATGTAAATCCACCTCCTGCTGATTCTGTTCGCCTGTTACTTGACTCCCAGAAATGTATGAATTTGTACTGAAAATGTTCAAATTAAAACCTTGTTGTTGCTACAACAATAAACACAATATTTTTACAATAAATGCATTTAACAACAACAACAGTTGTTCGTTTTCATTACGTCTTTGAGTAACTTTAATCGTTTCTCTCAAAGAATTAGCGACCTGATCTGTGCAATGAGTGAGAAATGTTGAATTTGAGTGAAAACAATGCTGTGCACTCATTTCGGCTCTCCAAATCCCCAAAGGCCGTAAGTGCCGAGCAAAGAACAGGAGTGCGGCGACCGTAGCTGACGTGCAGCTCTGGAAATCCATTGAGTCAAAGAGTTATGGTAACCGCTGCTCTCAAGCTCTCTCACTCTCTTAGTTTCGAACAACTTTCGAACACAGTGGCCGAAAGCTCAGATGAGCTAATCTGTGGCGAAGAGTGAAAATAATGAGTGGAAGTATAGGAATTGAGTGAAAAAATATTGCTTTGCATAAATAAAATCCACCTTCTGCTGTTTCTGTTCGCCTGTTACTTTAAATCGAAAAATTTATGAATTGTACTGAATTTGGCCAGATTTGGGTTCTTAATTTTGCCTACAACAACAACAACCACATCCTCTATATAACAACAACAATTGTACAACAACACGCGCCGATCGCGCTGATCTTTGCGATGATTCAGCATCTTTTGGGCTGAATAAATTTGCAAGAACCGGGAGGTGCCAGTTCAAGGCATACTTTTGCGCTGAGTATATACTGGGAACAGTTTGTAATGCTGAGCTTATACTGGGAACAATTTGTAATGTTATAGTTCGCGTATCGGCCGACAGATGGCCTCCGCAAAAAGATCGCGATGCTTGAGCATCTTTTGGGCTGAATACATTTGCAAGAACCGCAGGTACCAATTCATGGCATACTTTTGAGCTGAGTTTATACTGGGAACAGTTTGCAATGTTATAGTTCGCGTTTCGGCCCACAGATGGCCTCCGCAAAAACCCGAAAAATACCAAATTTATATTTAAAATCTATGAAAATTGTTAGTTTACTGCCATTTCGATTTTCGTTTAAGCAATACCAATCTCAGCAACATTCGATTTTTAAAGTGTACTTTACTTAAATCGGAGCAGCTTAGTTTAAAACAATTACATATCGAAGCAAAAACCACGCGTTTTGCAGCAAAATAAAAACGCGCTCAACAAAAACAAGTAAAAAATCGATCAAGCCTCTGCTTCTTTGTGTTTACATATTGTTTGTATAGTTAAAAATACCAATCAAGATGATGGCCACATCTATGAACGAAGAGAATTCCTGGGAGAACTTAAACCAAGTGCAATTAAAGAAATTTACAGCACCTTCCCAGGAGGCCGCTTTAGGTGACCTACAAAATCGCGACATTACCGTCAAGGATGTGCCCAAGCCCGTGATGGGTGTTGCTGGGATTCGTCCGAAGCCTGTGGCAGCTGCTGTCGTTCAAAAGGAGCCGGAGGTTAAAAAGGATTCGGAGGTGCTGGCCTTTTTCATCTCAACCAACGCTCCTGCTGCCACCACCACCAAGCCATGGGAAGGGGTCGAGGGTATCGACGCAAATGAATTCTTTTTGATCTGTTCCAGATGGAGGAGGAGCAGCCCATCTTCAGGGATCACTTGGCGGGCCAGAAGGAGGTATCGCACGAAATGCGAGCGGTGTTGATCGACTGCATCAACGACGTTCACCAAAACTTCAACCTGGCCGCAAAGATCTTCCAGCTGGCAGTGGCCATCATTGATCGCTACCTGCAGGTGGTCAAACGCACCCAATTGGAGTTGGTTGGCATCACAGCCCTCTTTATGGCCACCAAGTACAAGGAGTCCATTCCGCCGGCAATCGAATGTTTTGCCTTTATCATCAATGATAAAAATATCACCGACACGGTCCGCCAGATCTGCCAAATGGAGCTGCAGATCCTTAAGGTCATCGGCTGCAACTTGTCGCGACCGCTGCCGTTTCGTTTCTTGCGCAGCTACTCGAAGGCTGCCGTCGCAGAGGATGAGCACCATGCCATGGCCAAGTACTTTATCGAGTTGGCTTCCATGGATTACGATCTGGCCAGCTACAGGCCCTCGGAGATTGCCGCTGCCTCGCTGTTCCTGTTGATGCAGTTGATAAATGGAAACAACCAGGCTGCCAAGGGATTCAACGATGGCCACTGGACCCCCTCCCTGGCCTTCTACTTCAATTTTCTCATTCCCCTCGCTCACTCACTTCCCTTTTCGAAAAAAAAGAAGAGCAGAATTCATTTGAGCCTTGGCCATTTCATTAACTGGCCAAATGGCGAACCGAAAACGCTGCGGCGATTAGTTCACAGTCATAACACACGGCTGATTCGCATTCGCAGTCGCTCTGCTCCCCCCTGAAACTATAAAATTTTATGACTTTCTACAGGCTGGCCACACTGGCACGGGCACACACTCACGCTCAATTGGTTTCTGGTTTTTTCCATGTTTGCAGGTAGTTTAAGCCCCATTCTCACTCCCCCCGCCGGTGGTGGTGGCCTTTGTTGGCCAAATTGCGCAAAATGTTAACAAGCAATTGAGCAGACAAACAAACAACTGTTGCCCTCCGGTATGGGTGGAAAATTGCAGGCATTTTGGTATGGGTTGGGGGCCAGGACCTGGCAGGACACAACTGGGGGAGGTGGTGGTGGTCTGCCTGCCTGCCTGCCTGCCTGCCGCGTTGATTAGTTTAACGCGTCCAACGTAGCGGAAAGTTGCGACGTCTGCTCATTAAATTGAACCGGCCTTATTAGTTTGAATGTCCTTGCCGGCGTTGCCCCTCGTTGAGCGCTATAAAATGTAATTTTATATTGAGCAGGGCTACTTCATCGGCAGCTCCCTGGTCTTCCTGGCCGTATGCGGTTTTTATGGCCGTCGAGGCGATCAAGTACAGTCCAGTTTGCACGGAGAAAAAATATGGTAGTCTTGCATTTAATTACCACATCGATAATATAGCATAGTAAAGTATGCAAATATTTGAATTTTATTTTAATAAATTATTTTAATAATTAGCTGCGGGTATTTTTTTATTAAATAAATAACTTTACAATCATTTTACAAGTTATATTTTATCAAGGCCCAGAAAATACTTACTTTAGATACTGTGGAACCTCAATAAATCCAAATTTCAACTATAATTCCCAACTAGTTCTGGTTATTATTTATTTTCATAAATTATTTTAATTAATAACTGCAAGTACATATGTAATAACAAAATAATTATCTTAACATATATTTTATTTATTATTTTTATATATATTTTTTTTTTATTTATTATTTGTATTTATTATTTCTATACATTATTTTTATTTATTAGTTTTATTTACTATTTTTATTTATTTATTATATTTATTAATTATTATTATTTACTATTTTTATTTATGTATTTTATTTTATTCATAATTCTTAATTATTATTTTTATTTATTATTATTTCGAAAAGCCCAGAAAATACTTACTTTAGATACTGTGGCACCTCTATAAATTCAAATTCCAACTATAATTCCCAACTGGTTCGCTACACATCCTCGATTCAAACAGAAAAAGACCCATCCGAGTGATGGAAATGGGAAGACAGCGAGCTTAACTTTCAATATTGACACAAGTTTCGGCGCTCCGGCTTCAGTTTATCCACCCGCTGGCGCATAATAACTGTCAAAAATCTTTCAAATTTTAATCAACTTTATTTTTAGCCCAGACACAGCAGCCCCAGTTGAAACTTTGTTGGCTTCTCTTCTCTCATCCTTTCCTTATGTATTTTTTTCCTGCCTTATTTTTGGCAAGCAAACAAACACACATGAACATTAATGTAAATGTGCGACGCAGGATGCCAGGATATGCCGTCGCCTCGCTCTCTATCCTCTATCCTGGCTGCTGGCTGAAAAAGTATTAAAGACGCATTTAATTAAGTTGAAATTGTTGGCTGAGGCGGCTTCCAGGGCGGCGTTTGTGGTGGTTAAACAATCAGCCAAGTTTCCTTTTGGCCAGGTAATCAGGAGGAGACCAAAGACGTCTTCAAACTTAGGTTTCCCATATCTCTGTGACAACTTGTTCAATTTTCTTTTTTTGTTTTAATATTTTCTATAAATCTGTATTTACATTTTTGGTTAAACTGTACTTCCTGGCCCTGGCCAGAGCAATTACCATAAGGCATCTATCTCCGGGACTCCCACCCCCCAGGACCGCCAAAAGATGCCAGAAAACTTTGATATATTGTCAACTATGTTTGCCCAGGGCTTAGGACATCGTCCATCCCCCCGATTTTGCCGCTACTTTGTCTTGTGCATGCCAACAATAATTTTTGATTAAAGATGAATTTTTAATTTAATGTATCTCGCAGATAGAGACGCTCAGCCGTTGGCCACCGCCACCGCCATCGCCGTATCCGTATCCGTGGTAAAAGCACGATGGAAAAACATCAGGGAAATGAGGGAAAAAACGCACGAAAATGTTTTTTAATCTCAACGGCAAACGGAAGCGGAAATCAAACGACCAGAACAGCGGCCGAAAAAGCAAAAAAAAAAAAGTCCAGAAGAAGTCAGAGTTGGAGTTGGGGGGAATCGGTGTCGGTGGGGCGGGGGTTCTAGGACCAAAGTATCAAACAAAATTTTTAATGTCTTCTTCGTCCGAGTCTCGTTTTTGGTGTCTTCTGCCTGGGCGCCTTGTTAAAAAGCCCGCGAAATTCCACCCCCGCCTGCCCATTTCCTTGTTTCCCAATCCATCGAGCGGGCATACACACCACCCAAAAGCACCCACCACCCATCCACCCCCTCAAACCTTGACCCAAGCCATCCCACCTCCTCGGGAAACGGCCTTTGATTTTTTCCGAAGTTTTTTCACTTTTTTCGGTGGGCATTTTTGGTGTTCTTACAACGCGAAGTCCTCGCTGGGGAGAAGGGTATACGGGAAGAGCCTCAATTTGAAATCTAAAAAATAAAAGAAAATAACAAAGAATTAATTAAATAAATAAAAATATTATTTAGAATTAAAATTTTAATTTTTTAAATAAGAAAATACAGGAAACAAAGAATTAAATAAATAAAAATATTATTTAGAGCTTAAATTATAATTTCTAAAATAAAATAATATAGAAAATAATTAATTATTTATATAAAAAATTATTCAAAGCTTCAGTTTTAATTTATAAAATAAAAAAAAAATACAGGAAGTAATTAATTAAATGAATAAAAAAAATATTTAAAGCTCAAATTTTAATTTCTAGAATAAAAAAATAGCAAAAAATTAATTCAATTCTAAGAAAATAACCAACCCGACGCTGATTAATATTAAATATATATTAAATATTTAATTTTATAAAATTTAACAACAGAAATTAAAATATAAAAAGTGATAAAATATTTAAAACACAAAGTAAACGATGGAAAAAAAAAAAGCTGTGGTCAGGAATAACAAATATTTTAAAAATATATAAAAAGTAAATGAAATTATAAAAATATGTAAAACAATATAAAAAATTATATAAAAATATAAATACCTATAATTACTTGCCAAAATCTATATAGAAGGTATTCCCTAGTCGAGTTCTTTAATCAAACGCCTTGTCTAGTTGTCTTTTTTTTTTTTTTTGGCTCATTAGGAATTTTTCTTCGCCAGTTTTTTTGTTGGAAAAGCGATAAAAATTTGAAAGGCCCAACCCCCGCCAGCGCCTGCCAAATGGTGTTTAATGATTTATGAATAATCGCCATTTTGCATTTGAGTATTTTGAGTATTTGTGAGTCCCAGTGAGGTCCTGTGAGTCCCAGTGAGTCCCTGTGAGTGGTGGTAAGTCAGTCAGTCAACGCACCCGAAAGTCCATTTACACGTTTCGCTGGGGAAAAGGTGAGGGAGGCGGTGGAGGGGGCGTTATCAGTGCTGTTTTCCTGGGCGGTTTGTCTACATTTTCTTTTGATAATTTTTACACCGAAATTTGTGTTGTGTTTTCCGCTTTCCACTTGCGCCTTAAATTTATATCTATTTTTTTTCTAGACAAACACGCGCGACTGGCTGGGGTGGGTAAGGAAAATGGATCGTTTTGGCAATTAGGAATTTAGTTTAATTGAATTTAAACTCTGGGAAAATGTTGTAAATATGAAATGTAAAAGAATAAAATTGATAATATAAATTATAAGAATAGACATATTTTAAATGATTTTTTGTGGGAATAATTGAAACAGAAAAATAATAATAACTTACCTAAAAAGGCTAACGAATCTTCAAATTAAATTAAGAATTTACAACAGTTAACAATTTTGTTAATTTTTTAAAAGATGAATTTGTGAATTTGTTGGATATTTTAAAATTTAAAAAATCTATAACTCAGCCAAAACTGCTTAAAATTCAATTCGGAAAAGGGTTCTTTCTTAGTTTTAAAAAGGTTAATAAATCTGTTTATTAATTTTTAGGATTTTCTAAAATTAATTTTTAGCCAATTTTTGATTATTTTAATGATGTAACCCCTTATGAAATTTTGAAAAAATCGCTTAATATTTTTATTCTTCTCAAAATAACTAGAAATACTCGCCTGTTCATGCTGATCAAGAATATATATGGTTTATGGGGTGGGAAATGACTCCTTCACTGAGTTTTTAGCTTTTGAATGAAATTTAAAGACCCTCAAAAGGGCTTTTAATTTAAATATAAATTCAATATTTAACCAAAATTGTATAGGTTAGTTTTTGGTTAAATTAAAGTTACATATATAATAAAAATATGAAATAATAAATACCTAAAATAAGCTACTAAAAATGTAATAAAAAGTTTACATTAAAAAACCTTTAAAAAGATCGCAATACAACCTCTCACACCACATATGCTTTTCCTATTTAAATCCTATACTTTCCCTAGGCTTTTCCCCTTATATTCCTTACCTTTCGCCCCACCCCCATTAACCCATCAATTAACCCCCGCCAGCCAAAGTTTCCACGCAGATAAAGCGATCAATTCCGTTTCGAATCAAAAGTCAGCTGCCATTTAACGTCCTGACAGTAAGGCAGAGGGGGAGAAAAAATTGCAGAAAAACCAGCGTAATAAAAGTATTAAGGAAAACCCATACACACACACACCCACACCCATTTACACACACTCACACCCAGGGACACACACACACCCCTCTCTTTGGCATTGTAAGAAAGCATTTGCCTATCAAAAAGTTTTGATCTTTGATTGTCTGGCTTGGCTTTTTAACTAATTTGCGGCACCAAGGAAGACACCTTGACACACACACACCACACACACACACTCCGCACATACCCACACCCCACACACACCCCACACACCCACACACAGCAGCTCAAATGCTTGGAAAACGCGCTCAAACCGCATGCAAAACGCGTCACATGCAGTCACTAGGGAATTAACGCCCCACACACACACCCTCCTACACTCAGAGAAAGAAAATCTAATTGGTATATATTATGTGAAATTAATATATTTATTTTTAAAATTAATTTTTCTAATTTATTTTGTTATATTTCTAAATTATCTTAGTTTAAAAATGCTTTTTTTAGAAGAAATAGTTTATTTTTAGACTTTCCACTGCTGATTTTCCTCTGTTTAGCTCTCCCTTGAAATATTTTGCATACGTTTTGCCCCGCTTAAGCTGGTGGAAATCCCAGCCAGGAGCACGGCCCATCGCCCAAGACACACCCTCCCCCGGCCGCTGGCTTTATTTGCGCAATATTTTTCTGATAATAACAAATTCGCGAATATGTTTATCTGCGTTTTCATTGCCGTCTGCCCGTCGAATTTTTCCCCCGCTCTCTCTCTGGGTTTTTTTTTTTGTATATTTCCGCGGGGTTTTCATTTGGATTTGTCCTTTCTGCATGTCTTTGCCGCCTTCGTTTTCTGTTTCTTTTTTTTTGAGCTTTCCACTAATTCCATTTGAGACGTAACGAAAACGAAAATGACATCAATTTATTTGTGTATTGTTGTTTACATCTTCCTCCTTCGGCTTTCCCTGCCTTCCGCTTTTCATTGGCCAGGACCGCCCTCGGCTTTTCATTTTCTTGGTGACAATATCTTGAGGGGCGTCGCATAAAAAAAGAGGAGGGTACACTTATTACCTTCCTCGTTTTTCCAATTGTTTGCCAAAGTCAGTTAATTGTGTTTCCCTAGAGGAAAAATATATACAAAATATATATGGAGAGGTGGGAGAGGATGTATAGACTTGGGAGGACAAGGTAGCCAGTTAAGGAGTCTCTCTAAATAAATAAATTATTAAAAAAGTGAATAGGAAAAGTGAATAGAAAGTAGGTCTATTTTTTCTATTATTTGTGTACAAATTTCAAATAAAACAAGAAAGGAAGCTAACTTCGGCACGCCGAAGTTTGTATACCCTTGCAGATATTATTTCATTACATTTCAACTATACTTATTATGTTTACAGTTTGACAGTTACAGTTTTACATTCACACCTTTACATTTTCTCTACATCTACCGATCGCTCCTATGGCCGCTATATGATATAGTTGTCCGATTTTCATGAAATTTATACCAAAATTCTAGAATAATAAAATAAGCTTATATCCCGGAGTAGATGAAAATACGTTGAAAAACAACGAAGTTATAATTTGTTTCCTATTAATTTCCCGATCGTTTCTATGGCAGCTATAAGATATAGTCGTCCGATTTTCATAAAATTTTTACCAAAATTCAGAAATAATATAGAATGGCCATATCTAAAAAATGGTGCAAAAATGTTAAAAAACAGCAAAGTTATAATTTTTTTTCGAAAAATTTATCGAACATTTGTATGGCAGCTATATGATATAGTCGTCCGATCCGGCCCGTTCCGACATATATAGCAGTGAGAGTATATAGAAGACTATATGCAAAGTTACATTCAGATAGCTTTAAAACTGAGGGACTAGTTTGCGTAGAAACAGACAGACGGACAGACGGACAGATGGACAGACGGACAGACGGACAGACGGACATGGCTAGATCGACTCGGCTGTTGATGCTGATCAAGAATATATATACTTTATAGGGTCGGAAACGTATCCTTCACTGCGTTGCAAACTTCTGACTGAAATTATAATACCCTGCAAGGGTATAAATATAAGTATTACTAATTATACATTCTTATTGAGAAGATAATGTATTTTAGAACTTTTATAAAATATATTTTATATAAATAAAATTTTATAATATATTTTAGTAGTTATTTAAAATATAAGTTACATAAATAATATTTTTCATATATTTTAAAACTTGTATAAAATATATATTTTATAAATAATATTTCTAAAATATATTTTAGTACTTGTATAAAATATTTTTAATATAAATTATATTTTTTTCTTAACTTTAACCTTAGAATTGTGACTTGCAGTTAAATAAATTTTATTTAAATAGGGAAATATATATTGAATAAGCGTGGATATTTCATTTTAAATATAA